CCAGATTTCTATCTGCCTTATAGTCCATTTATCCAACCTATTCTTCCTCAGCTTGCAAAAATGCTGTGTGAGATGGTATCAAAAGCCTTGCTATGGTCAAGGTATATTGTGCCCACTGCTTTCCCCACATCCATGGAGCCAATTATCTCACCATAGAAGGCAATCAGGTTGGTCAGGCATGACTTGCCCTTGGTGAATCCATGCTGACTGTTCCTAATCACCTTCTCAAAGTGCTTGAGGATTCCTTGAGGATCTGTTCTATGATTTTTCTGGGGACTGAGGTGAGGCTGACTGCTCTGTGGTACCCTGGATCTTCCTGCTTCCCTTTCTTAATGATGGCACTATATTTTCCCTTTTCCAATTGTCTGGGACCTCCCACAGTTGCCATGAGTTTTCAAAGATGATGGCCAGTGGCTCTGCAGTCACATCAGTCAACTCCCTCAGCATCCTTGGAGGCACCCCGTCTGTACATGTCCAGCTCTTCTAAATAGTCCCTAACTTCTTCTTTCATCACTGAGGGCTGCTCACCTTCTCCCCAAGCAGTGCTGCCTAGTGCAGTAGTCTGGGAGCTGACCTTACCTGTAAAGACTGAGGTAATAAAGGCATTGAGTACTTCAGCCTTTTCCTCATCATTTGTCACAAGGTTGCCTCTCCCGTTCAGTAAGGGAACCACACTTTCCCTGACCTTCCTCTTGTTGCTAACATACTTGTACAAACCCTTCTTGTTACCCTTCACATCCCTTGCTAGCTGCAACTCCAACTGCATTTTGGCTTTCCTGACTTCATCCCTGTATGCCTGAGCAATGCTCTTGTACTCCTCTCAAGTTGTTTGTCTAAGTTTCCACTTCTTGTAAGATTTCTTTTTGTGTTTTAGCTCACTGAAGAGTTTTCTGCAAAGCCAAGCTAGCTGTTTGCCACATATGCTATTTTTTCTGCACATCAGGAAGATTTGTTCCTGCATCCTCAGTCAGGTTTGTTTAAAATACAACCAGTTCACCTGGGCTGCTTTCCCCGTCAGATGGGCCTCCCAGGGGATCCTGCCCATCAGTTCCCTGAGGGAGTCAAAGTCTGCTTTTCTGAAGTCCAGGGTCCATGCTCTGCTGCTCTCCTTTCCTCCTGTTGTCAGGATCCTGAACTTGATCATCTCGTGGTCACTGCTGCCCAACTTGCCATCCCCTTTTACATCTTCAACCAATTCTTCCCTGTTTGTGAGCCATTGGTCAAGAAGAGAATGGCCCCTAGTTTGTGTCTCCAGCACTTACACCAAGAAATTGTCTCCAATACTCTCCAAAACTTCCTGGGTTGTCTGTGCACTGCTGTATTGCCCTCCCAGCAGCAGATGTCAAGGTGATTGAAATCCCCCATGAGAACCAGGGCCTGTGATCTGGAAACTTCTGCTAGTTGTCTGAAGAAAGCCTCATCTACCTCATCCTCCTGGTTTGGTGGTCTATTGCAGACACCCACTACAACATCACCTTTGTTGCTCTCCCCTTTAACCTTAACTCAGAGACTTTCAACAGGCCTATCTCCAGTTTCATACTGGAGCTCTTAGCAATCATACAGCTCTTTTACTCCTCCTCCTCTTCTTCCCTGTCTGTCCTTCTTGAACAGTTTATACCAATCCATGACAGTGCTCTAGTCATGCAAGCTATCCCACCAAGTCTCTGTTATTGTAATGACATCATAGTTCCTTGATTGTGCAAGAAATTCCAATTCTTCCTGCTTGTTTTCCAGACTCTGTGCATTGGTGTACAGACACCTGAGGTGACTAGCTGATTGCCCTACTTTCTCAGGAAGAATGAGGCCTCCCCTGTTGCCCCCTCCTGCTTGTGCTTCCTTCAGGTCCCCCACTTAAAAGTGATTTAGCTCCCCCACTTAAAATTGATTGAATTAATGCAGCTTTCTCACACAGTCCATTTGTTATATGGTAGTACAGCATGGGTGTAACAATATGCTTCCTGCACATTAAAAAGAGGTATATCCACAAAGTATTTTTCTTGTGTTCCTTTTGAATATTTATATGTTGCTTTCTTCCATTCTGCCCATACTCTTGCTGGTTTGACAGCTGCTTTGATTAATAAGCAAAGTGGGGCAGGAATAAAAACAGTCATTTTTCTTCCATCTTCCCCACTTTTGGTTTTATGGACTGAGTTATAAGGATAGCAAAAAGACAGTCTGCTCTCGCACAGTCAGTCAATTATTTTCCTCCTGTGGTGCATTCAGTAGCTATAGGTCTCTGTCTGAGATAACTGATATTGATTTCTTTCTTCCATGGTTTCCTTTCTTTCTAGTGCAGATGTGGGCCACAAAAGAGTCAGCATCAAATTAAAGAAACACTTTAAAAGAATATATAGTTCAGTGGTAGAGATACCAATCCCAACAGCTTTAATTTTCAGTCAGTTCTTGGGACAGCTTTGGCTTTCCCGTGGTGTATGTTAAAACTTTCTGAATTCAATAGCTAATTTTCAGCCTTTACTATTAGAAAGAACACAAAATCATGACATGCTAGGCCAGTGTCTTGTTGCTTATTCCCTGCATGCACAAGGAATGATCCATTTGAGAAACTCAATTCTTAATTTATGCACCTTTGGGAAGTTAATCTTTCATGTGGACAACAGAAATATTTGATTTACCGTATTGGATCAGAAGACAAAAACCCCAGATCAACCTCATGCAGTAGCCAGTAGGGGTGTGAGAAATGGGCCATATTCAATTCGGATTTGGCCCAATTCAGGGGATAGTGATTCTATTCATTGATCTGGATCACTGTCCTGATTCAATTTAGCTGAATCTGAATCTAAAGATTTGATGCTGATTCAGAGAATCAGCGATTCAGCCATAGACACAGGTTTAAATGTTTTTTTTCTATATACCTCAAGGTACCAGGTGTGGCTCATGAATGCTGTAATGCTGGGGCAGACAGAGTGTCCCACAGGAGTACAGGGGGGCCCCCTGCGTCCTTGGCAGCAGACCCAGAAGTGGATCAGAAGTACTCCGTCCACCTGCGGATCTGCAGTCGAGCATGCGGAGGACCTCCCCCACATCCATCCAGCACAGCGATCGGTCCTGGGGGGACCCTGGGTGCCCCCCCAGACCCAGGAAGCACAAGTTGCAGAGCGGGAGGAGTGGGGGGGGTCCCCTGCATGCTCCGCTGTGGACCCAGAAGTGGACCAGAAGTGCTTCCACCGCCAAGCATGCTGGGGACACCCCTCCCCACCGCACTCCCATGAGACACTCCATCCATCCCAGCATCTCAGTGTTCACGAGCCACCTGGTACCTTGAGGTATGTAGAAAAAGCATTTCAAACTATGTCTATGTCGGAATTGTTGAATCTCTCTGAATCTCTCCAAATCGATTTGAAGGGTTCTGATCCGATTCAGAGAAATTAAAGGATCTCCTGATTCAATTCAGATTTGGAGATTCGGCTGCTGAATCAGGCTGAACCTCCGCTGAATCAAATCAGCAACTGAAGCTTTGCACAGCCCTAGCAGCCAGTACCTAATAGCACAATCCACATGCCTGACTGCAGTGCTCTGCATAAGGCAAAACATGTGCATTTTTAAAAGGGTAGGCTGATCCAATTTTTCTATAGATCTCATGAGTTTAATACCTTAAATGAGTTCCCTCTAATTCTTTTTCCAAGGGAAAATGTGTGTAATATCTACAGACTTAGATCAAACCTTGCCATACCCTTAAGTGTCCTTGTTGCCTTCTCTATATCCTTTTAGTCTTACCTCTGTCACTGCTAAAAATGAGGCAATCAGAACTGAGCCCTTTAGCTTGTAAGGCTCTAGTTGTGATCATGTGTTCCATGGATGCAGAAAAGCAGAGGGGCCATAGGCATTGTGCATGACTTCAAGTCTTGCTCAGGGAAATGGGCTAGTGGCAAGAGTTGAACTAAAAGCAGAAGGTGAAGAGGTAGGACACTGACCATAGAGAGGAGTTCATACTCGATTATCCTGGCAGTGCAGCCTCTGTACCAGCAAGCTCCTGGTGATGCTAAGCAAGGTTTTCCAGAGGTTCCAGTTGAGTAAAGCAGCTTGGCTTATCTTCTCTTCTGGATGGTGCATCACATCTTAGGTCCAGTCTGCATTAAGAAGAAAGGTGTGTTTAACAGTAACATTGCTAATGTAAGTGTTCCTTGCCTACACACATACCCCTTGTGTGCAGGCAAGGAAAGCTGTAGCTTTACTTTGCTACAGCTGGTTGGGTTGGACTTTAGGCTTTTCCTTAGGATTGCTTCCTGGGGTTCACCTTGACCAACTAAAGTAAGGTAAAACTGAAGTTTGACCGGTCCGTATGAGGTCCATACAATGTGTTAGCGTTCACCTTTTAAAAACATACCTTTTCTTAGTGCAATGCAGGCCTAAGAAAGTCTTACAATCCATCTTGCTCCTCTCCCATCTTGGCACCAGCTTCTTCAGCTGGAGGACTGGGGAAGTCAGTCCTGAGATAAGCCCACTCCACAATTCCTTTGCATATACTCTGTAGAAAGACATCTGTCTCTTTCTGCTTCTCCAATTCAGCAACTCTCTGGACTCCAAATACTGCACATGGGCCCAGCAGCCTAAAAGGTTTTTGTATCATATACGTGTATTTGTACTATATTGTGTGGCCCAAGAAGTGTGTGTGTGTGTGTGTGTGTACGTATATACAAAAATCACACTCTGGGCAGTACACCAGGTAGCACCTGTCACTTGATCCTAGCTAATATGCTGCTTATTTTTATGTTTCCATTGGTCTTGCTGGGGATGTTAATATGTGACTGAGAATTAGGGGTGTAACTGAGTTTTATCCTAAAGTCAGAAATAAGTTTATTGCGAGGTAGAGGCAGGGACTGAAGTTACTTCAGTCCACATTCTCCTGTACCTCTCTTCTCTCTCACATGCCCCTAAACTCTTGTAATAGAAGTACCTAGCTTCCAATTTCCAATTTTACCAGCTTTTGACAAAGTGAGGAACTTCACTAATGTATGTTTGTTTCCCTTTGTTCTTTCCAGATTGACTCTCGTAAGCGTCTGGCCAAGACAGTGTTGGTGTTCGTGTGCCTCTTTGCTTTCTGCTGGCTTCCTACTCACATAATCTATTTATACCGGTCCTACCACTATTCAGAGGTGGACACTTCACTGTTGCACTTCATCACCAGCATCTGTGCTCGAATCCTAGCATTTACTAGCTCTTGTGTGAACCCTTTTGCTCTGTACTTGCTTAGCAAAAGTTTCAGAAAACAGTTCAACAACCAGCTGTTCTGCTGCAGGGCCCGTCTCCTCATAAGATCTCAAAGCATGGGCAGAAGCACCACTCGAATGACCTCCCTCAAGAGCACCAACCATTCAGTGGCTGCATTTAGCCTCATCAATGGCAACCACATCTGTCATGAGGGATGCGTATAGGATACACAGCCAGGGACACCTTGGAAAACTATCATGTTTAGCACATTAGCATCACTGTGTGCTGTGTCTTGTGGGGCTAGTGAGTAACACGCACACATAAAAAAACTCAACAGCATTCAAAGAACTTCAGGGTGCTTTAAGCAGCTGAGGTGTCATTCAAAACTGGGGAGCAGTCCTGCATAGCACATAATTAAGGGCCTGACACTGTGTTGAACACCTCCTGTGATATGCTGAACTCCTTAGTCCTACTGGTTTTACAAAGAGTTAAGTGCTTTCAGCACCTTGTAAGATCACTGGCTCTAAGTCAGATCTTGAGTTCCTCCATCAGTTTGTACTTAGTCCTAACCTGGGCAGTCACACAAAAAGTGTGGTAAGGGCAGCAAGATTTGTTCAAGTGCTTGCATGAAACAATGTAATGGTATATTTTACCACAGTGTGTGTATATATATATATATAGAGAGAGAGAGAGAGAGAGGCTCAAATCAGTCCATTTAAATGAAGAATACCCTTTTACAAAGAAGTAAAACGTAGATCATTTACTAGAACCATCAAGTATTTATAAATGTTATGAGTACAGTATTAATTCACCATGTAAGAAGATTTTAAGAGTGTTGTTTACTGGGGTTGGTTGGCCCCTTCTGAAATCAGGGGGATCTTGTACAATATCAATGTGAAAGCAGCAACATTGGAATAAATGTGAGTTGGAATATGTTTACTGTTTTCAGATGTGTGCACTTTGTCATAATATAGAGAAACTTCAGAGCTTTCTAAGAGTTTTTGACTCTTCTCCTTTTCTCTTTTGGGTTCAGGACAATGAGTATCACATTATTAAATGAAACAGAATTTTAGTTTGTGTTAAATCAAGGATGAACAACAAATGTAAAATGAAGCACAGGAATTCTTCATGAGAATGTACTGTAAATATATGCTGTATAAAGGAAACCATTACAAATATATAGCCCGGTCTCTAACTCATTGTACCGGCCACATTTCTGTACTTCCACTATTCATGTAATGGGGTTTCAGCTGATCCAACAGGTTTAACAGCTAGGGAAATCAGGCTTTCATTATTTTCATTCCATCCTAGCTGTGATGTTGTGGCATCTGTTTTTCTAAGAGTAGGAAGATGGTTCAAATGGGGTAGGGATTAGGCTGTACAATTAAAAAAACTACTAAAATGCAGTAACTCAGAGCAAAAATCAACTAGTAAAGCAGTGAATGCTGAGGTGTTAATGGAGGTGGAGGTTTTAAATGGCTTACACCACTGACGTTTTCCCCACAAACAGGAAATAATAAAACCAGCAAAACTTTATGATAAACTTGTATTTTAAAAGAAATGTTTGGGCTGTATATACACTGAATCAGTACCTTAGAGGCCCATGAGTAGCGTTCACTGTAGTTAGTAGGAGGGGCCTGCTCACCTGCCTTCAGAGGCAGAAACTGGATCATCATAGCATCAGTAGATCCAAGGGATTTTTAATCTTGACTTCAATAGGGCCAGGATTTCACTGCAGGTCAGAAGGAACATGGACCCTTCAACTCGCACTACATAAACCTGCATGAGGTACAAACCTACTATTTAACACACAAGCTGTACGATACTTGTGTAGCTTGTTACTAATTCGCAGGAGCATTGCATGGCAGGAAGTGTGATACAATGCTACTGTGCAGTAGAAACAAGCTACTACTTAGTCAGCATCACCTAAAACCTGTTCAGCAATGCTACTGTGCAGTAACTCCAGTTACTACACAATCATTTAGTACTTGTTTATACAAGTACTAAATGACTGCACAGTAATGACTACACAGTCAGCAACTTGTGTAGACCCAGCCACAGAAAATGAACCTTCATCATGTATGCTTTTTCAGGAAGAATGAAATAGGGTTACCTATTGGTTCATGTAACACCACGCCTAGTTTTTCATTCATAGGTTTGCAAGTCGCTAAGCCTTCCTGTTCTTCCTTTCACTCCTGTTGAATGCTGTGAGGCATTAAGGCTAAGTACAGACATTCAAAAAGCCCAAGGCTGAATCAATTCAATCTTCGAAGGTTAGTCTAAGCTGCATAAATTGAACTGATAAGCATGTGAACATTCGCTTTTCATTCCAAAAATCCAGCCAGATCCCTGCACTTGCCCAGGCCACAAGCTGGGGAGTGTTAGAGCACAGCTCCCTTCTAAGCTGGGTAAGACAGCATGGGCCAAGGCCAGCCCACCCACCTTGTGAGGCGAGGTTTACAGGGGAGGTGCAAAACATCCTGGGATGCTGGGAGACTGTGAGTTAACCTGAATCTGTAGGGGATCTGGGACAAAAGTACACCATTTTAACCTAAATCAGTTAAGTCTAATACTACATCCATCCGGTTTACCTTAAACCAGTTTAGCTATTTTGAAAGTTTAAACCAATTTCCCATCACTTATACCAGTTTATGTGTAATTTCTGTCTCTAGCCAAAGAGTCTCAGGTGGGCAGAGAGATCATGCAGCTTTGAAACCAGCACACCTTTGTTTGAAATTATTCTGCCCAATTTGGCTTTAAATTAATCACATATAAGAGACTTTGGAAAAACATCAGAAATAATCTAATAGTCAAGAGCACCACTAAAAAAACACTGAGATTAAACAGTGTCTTTTAATCCAAAGTGTCCAAATTCAGCCTTCTCATGCATCATGCAATTCTGTCCATTTGGTACAGGTGTGTTGTTCTGTTTCTAACTATGGTATTGTTAGAAAATACATAATTACTAGCAAATTACCCATCAAGAATGATGGGGGAGGGGGCGAGCAGGGACAGAGGCCTGCATCCCATCCTGCACCCCTCGGACTGGGGCTGGGGCCACTCCCGCCTCCCCCCACTGCTTTGGGTTGAGACCATTCCACATCTCCCCCCTGCCACTTCAGGTCATAGCTGAGGCCAAAGCGTGGGCCATTCCCCACCTCCCCCCGCCACTTCGGGCTGGGGCCAGGACTGCCTTCAAGGAGCAAGGGAGGACAGGTAACCAGTGACTCCCCTCTGGCCCCTCAGTCCCCACTGTCATGGCAGTGCTCCGCTGTCTGTCCGCTGTCTGCCTCTGTCTGATTGGCCAAGACAGCCAATCAGAGCACATATAAAGCATTATGGACAGACAGACAGATAGACAGACTAAGGCTTTTATAACATTAGTATTGAACACCAAATGTGTGCGATTGGACTGCATGGCAACAATAACCATTAGTAAGTGAAATTATCACATGGTAGAACAGAAGGATGATCTTTTTGGACTCAAATATTTATTTTAGGTAGAAAAACTGCTACCTACAATACTGAATAATAATTTTCTTTTTCCCTTAAAGGAAGTGTTTTTAACCCAGTAAGGTATCAGAGAATATGGCCGTCTTGATAAATGCAACACTCATTTTCACAGTTAATGTGATCCTTATGGAAGGAATGCTGTGACCATAAAATGGAGCAATGTCATTCTTCAATCATAATTTGGAAGAAGTAAGTTCATGTATTGCTTGTTCCTCTGACAAAAACCCCCCAAATTTTATGACAGAAACCCATCTGCATTTATTCACTGAGAAAAGTTGACTTTCAGTCTCACTCTGACTAGACCCTCCATAAGGCAAAAAACTCAATGCTGCCAATCTAAGCAATAAACAGTCCCCTGGATATTAAATGTATGGCTATTATTGCTAGTGTTATGCCTCCTGGGGAGCTGGGTCCGATGATCTTGTAAGGCCCCTTCTAGCCCCTAACATCCATGAATCTATGAATCATAATTATTATAGTGCAACTTAGATTACTGAGCTTGTGAAATCACATCAACTGTTTGCCTTTTTAAATAGATTGTTAGTAAAACCATATAAATTAAAAGAAACCAGTTAAAGGGTATATAGAAATATAAAGAAGGCATTATTAAAACCTGAATGATTTTTGTACATTTACTAAAGTTCTTATGATATACCTTATACTTAGTCCAGTGTTTAACGGTACCTAATTTATATAACCGTTCATTTCTTAAACTAAGGAAATGTAAGAAAATACCCTCATACCTTTGCAGATATAGTAGTATTTGATTTGGATTTCATTTAAATCTATATTTAGTTAGGATCAGAAAAATATACATTTTAGCACTAGATCATTGTGTTTTGCCTAGCAGTAAAGGTATTTTGGTTTGTATAGTTCATGAACCAGTTTTTGCCCTTGATTACACCACAACTTATCACAAAAATATAACTAAGGTTCTTATAAATTTTAGGCCAAATATTGCTCTCTTTTATGACATTGTAACTAGTAAGAATAGATTCTTACCAAAGGTTTATAACAGTAGCCCAGTGTTATTTCCATTAGTATGAATGCCTGGTCTTTGAATTACAGGAATGGGATGTGGAATCTGAGCAAAAAAAGTGTACTATAGTCTCAAGACCTACACAGATATATATTCCTGCTTCGCTTAAAGCACATGCATACATCTTTGTACGGTTGGAACTATAGAGGTACAACTAATTTGGAACAATACACATACCACCTCCTTTGGAATTATATGATATTTCTGTGTTGACCTATCTACATAATTATTGATTAACTTAGTGTAAGTTGTATGGTCTTTTAAGAACAGAGACTACATACAACTCTTTCATGCCAAGATTATCAAATGGAGAAGACTTTTTAAAAATTGCTGTCTAATTTTATATTAATAACATATTCAAAACCTCTGATTTTAAAAGTATATAGTTGCTAGATGCTGGAAATTACTACTTTAGAAAATGTGTGTGATTTGTTTCCTTGAATGTGTAAAATAAGTGGTAACAATTAATGAGAAATGATCATAAAATGCCTAAGGAATTTTAGATTAAATCCATCTTTATTTAAATAAATCATGATTTCTGATAAACTATCTGACACATGCATTAGTGGCGATTATTGTTTTGCTGAGAAGTACTACTTTTTGTTTTCAAGACAAGTTAGACTTTGAAGCTGGTAGCTTTTGAATGGATGAGTATTGTATATGTATCAATGCTTTTTATTCTGGAATCAGATAAGCAAGCTATTGACAGCTTAAACACAACAAGACATAAGCATTCACTTTCTGCAATCTTTATTCTCTTATTGTTGCTTTTTTTTGGAAAGTGGATGTGACAGTATTCTGGTCACGAGGCAGGCTGAGAATGATGAAGACAATAATACTCAGCCTTAAATAGTACTATTCATCCACAGAGCTCAAAGCATTTTTCAGAGGAAGTTTTCATGGTTCAAATTTTGTACTTGGAAAAAGTGAGGAAAAGAGAAGTGAAATGACTTTGCCTAAAGTTACCCAGTAGGCCTGTGTCAGAGCTGGGATAAATCCCTACATGCTTGGATTATTAGTGTTGTGACCTAAGTAATGGACCACATTTTTTCCCCCCAGCCAGCGATTTCAGACTGATGTTCTAAGTCAACTCCTTGTGAATAATTAGCTATCCCTTGTAGCCCTGTTAAAGCCAAGCTGGGACCAGATTATGATACCACCTTTAGAAGTTATAGAAAGTAGAGTAGAAATGAGTAAGGAGCCTCCCTCTTCCTTAAGTACTTTATGCAAGGCCAGTCACAATTGCAGACTGAACACAGGCCTGAGGAGTGTCTTTCATTCCATTTCTAGTTGGCTTTGGGTGCAGACAAATTAAAAGATTTGAGTAAAGGGAGTACTCCAAGGTCAGCATGACTTATTTGAACAGACATTGAGGGGATGTAA